GTCGATTGTAGCTATCAGGGAAGCAAGTAAGAGGAAATGCGAAGGAATAAGTTGTTGAAGTAGACGGTTACATTTAACTATTTCGACGGTGAAAGGGTGGGACCGAGATGCCAACGCTGAAATTCATAAAGTTGGGGTAACTGTGAATGTAACTGCTCAGAACAGTTGCCATAAAAATATTTGTATAAAAATACCCTTGGGAGAGGTATGAATCCTCTTCTTCTCCCTTCAGCTATGGGTAAAATAGCATGACAGACTGGGTTCTATAGCCTTGGATGGCAACTGGTCTTCGAGAAGGACAACTTTGAATTCAAAACCTCCAGAGGGTTGTTTGGGAACCTTGTGGCATTCGGTGCACCAGGTCTCTGTATTCGTCCCTTCAAAAAGTGTGGAGTGCCTTCACCACTATAATAAAATCTCATGTACCCGTGTCGGGCTGTCTAATAATTTGGCACGCTCAAATGACCGTGCTGATAACAAATATGGTGCCAGTTTGTTTACATTGCGCAGATCAGTGTTGCCAACATTGTGTGAATATCTTGTGTGAAATGATTGGACGGTTTTTGAAATATTATAAAAAAGTTATCTCGATAATAATTTGGCACGTAGCGTATATACTTTAAGTACAGTAGGTCAGTTGAATCCGCTATGTTGGTTGAAACCTTACGGTATATATATATTCGAAAGTTCCGTTTAAGCACATATATACATATCCGATGCAATCATCTCAGTCCTAGTAGAATCTACACTACTTTATTCATTCGATGTCGATGTTAGTCTTATTTACTCTATTTTTATTTCTGTATATTAACAAAGGAGTAATGGATAGCGGCTCGGAATAAAGGATCAGTGAGCCGAGTTCGAATTCCAGTCGAATCCATTACATCCACTTACCTGCCAATAGCCTTGCGATAAGTATGAATCCTCTTCTTCTCCACCCCCAGGTATGGGTAAATAGCAGGATAGACCGGGTTCTATAGCCGTGGATGCTAAGTGGTCCACAGCAGAAAGAAACAGCAACCTACTGCGGGAAAAATCTGCTTCGTCAGTCATGTATCGAAAGATACATGATCGCCTATGCATGTATCACGCATGGCACAAATTGGCTGATATTAACAAAAAGAATAAGCTAGGCCACACAAATTTCCTGAGCCGATCGAGTATAGAAATGAATACAAAATGGGAATAATGAGTGCCAGAGAAAAGCAATAATAAGCAATATGGTAAAAAAATGCAATGATAACAGCAAAAATTGCAATATGAGCACTGTTAAAAAATGATTGCTGAATACATTAAGTTTACAATTCCCAGATATTCATGCACAGATGTTCTCAAAGACACATGACACAGAGGCGTTGGTTAGATCCAGAAACAGGATCCAAATAATTGTGAGTTCAATATCTGGATAAGTCAATGGAGAACTTGGAGAGGGTAATTAACTGTAGATAACTGGTAACAGACATCCATTATATATGGCACGTGGAACTCGAACAGTCTAACCCAGCGAGCGAAATAAAGGTTTCATTCCAAACACCTGAAGATAGCCGGAGAGTACAACGGTCGAAACATTGTGATAAATATGGCGACAAAGATGAGGACAATAGACTGAAGAATGTAAATGGTATACAAAATACCTCATCTCAGAAATATAGACAGATATATATAAATATATATATATATATATATATATATATATATATATATATATATATATATATATATATATATATATATATATATATATATATATATATATATATATATATATATATATATATAATAAGTTATTAAAGTTAAAACACGAAACCGAAGCAAACGTCAAAAACCAAAACACTTACTACATTCTGAAAAAAAAAACGATATATTTTAAGCATTTTATCTATTGTCGAAAAGAGAATTTTAGAAAGCCGGTTCAGCGGAGAAACATTTGATGAGCCTTCATTTCTGCGACGCTACATTGCTGCTTAGGAGTACGTACTTCCGAATCAGGAACACTTTAAGGATCTTTCACGACGACATTTACAATGAAAGTTTGTTCCATGATTTCATTTAATCCCGCCTCTATACCATTCCACATGTCAAGGTGCTTTCACCGACCAAGTGCGCATGACCAATCTGTAGTTGGATGTCGTTGCACAATTATTTCGGCCCGGGATCCCACAGCCACAAAGATCGATATTGCATGTTCATCAAATCTAGCCTTTGTATCAAATCTTATTGATTACACTCTCAACGAAACCCTTAGAAAATGTCTTCTGCGTCAACAATCGGTAGTTTAAAGATTCAATCTTAATCAAGAAAATTATCTCTTCGACACACACTGCTGAAAGAGACGACGTTTTGTAGAGTTCCAGAGATTTAATTAAACCAATTAGTAACCTCGTCAGTATTGATGCAAAGTTTTAATCCTATATAATCCTCTATTTGTTTGTTGACCCTTTCTTTGATTTTGCAACAAATTCTGGCAATTTCAGATTGAGTTGGATTGAGTTGATAATTCTTGTAATCAGATTAACTTCGAAAACGGATTTGTGATCATTTATGATTATATAGCACATTTTTGGTAAGTTTACTGGTCGTTTTTAAAAGTTCTTATTTAAATCCTTTTTTTTAACTAGGTTGTAATCTATAAAAATTCACTTTTTTATTCGATTTCATTAAAATTCTATTAGTTGCATTAATATCTTTCACTATCTTGTCCAGCTGTTTCTGGAAATAGCTTTTCTTTTCATGAAAAGATATGTTATTTATTATTTGCAGTAAATCACTTTCGAATCAAGACAATGTTTCAATGAAGGGTTCTGTACTCTTACTGTTATATATATATATTTCAGGTTTGTTTGATGAAAAGTTAAAATAAGCTCTCTATCCCATCCTTCGTATAAGAAATAATAATATATGTTCTTATATATATATATATATATATATATATATATATATATATATATATATATATATATATATATATATATATATATATATATATATATATAACATGCCTGTCCACACACACAATTCCGTAAAATAATTGTCGAAAACACAATTATACTTCGACATGAAAACAATACACAAAACTAAAAATCCTTGAAGCATTATACATTAAACAGTTGAAACCCAACCTAATCAAAATCAACTATGGAATCTCTACAAATATCCTTAAATGTCTGTAGTTTGTGACGGAAGCCATTGGTTTGTGCCAACGGATTTCCATACTTCATTCACTCTCGCGTGGTCATGTGTGACGTCATGAGATGCGGTGCGATTTTCGCTTCTAGCGTCTTATTTGCACGTGTTTATTGTTGCTTAGAGATAATCTATGTAAACATTCACAGACTGTCATCACTGTCTTGTCCGTATATTGCTTAATATGCTGTAACTGATATCTTTGATAATGTCTTATGTAAGCCGAAAGCTCAGATTTATTAAAAAATTTCTTTCTTCGTTCAATTAGGATGTATATTATTTAATGAAACGTGTATGAATATATATATATATATATATATATATATATATATATATATATATATATATATATGGGCTCAGGTGAAATAAATTATTATAATGGAACATTAAAGTGGTCTGTTTTTCTTTAATATATATATATTCATATGAACTTTATTTCAATCCTTAATTAGTTTCCGATCCCTAGCTATGATTAATTAATGATGAACATGCCATATTCGTTTATGATCGATTTCATCACAATTTTTCTGTTAAGCTTTGAGAATAATTACGCATTCTTATTGCTCAATGTAGTGCCCGATAGTATTATAAAAACCTCGAAAAATTCATGTAAGATATATTTAATCATTTCTAAGATACAACGATTCTAACAATTGGAAAATTTTGCTGTTACACGATCTCAGTTATCTTCGACACACACCGCTGAAAGAGACCACGTTTTGTAGAATTCCAAAGATGTAATTATCATCGTGTTAGCGCGATTCTTAAACTGAAAATTGATTTCTGGAGTGAACCTTGTTTTGATATCGATGCTTTTTAGCATTCCTCGATTCTTATTCAAAGGACAATTGTATCTTGGTGCATCATTTGTGGAAAAAAGCACGAAAAAATGAATGATAAAGGGACAGAATAAGTTTCAAACAATGCTATATAGAAACTGGACTCTCTCACAAAAGAAACCAAAGCTGAGTTCATATTTAATCTAAATCCTTAACCAGAAATATATCCTTAAGTAGTGAAGGTGTCCCACAGGAAATCATATACTGGGTTAGATTACTGAAGATCCTGATTCATTCTGGCCTTTTAAATCTATCCCTGATCAAGTCAACGGTATCCCAAAAGGAAACGTTAAAATATACGCCTTGCACAATTTTAGGTGGATATTCACAAATTCACGTTCGGGGTTAGGACTTTGTACTTTCCTTAATGAAGAATATATAATATCGGTTACTTAACTCAGTCCGTTATTTGCGTATAGTGAAAACTACAAGAATGCAGTCTGCATAGTTATCAGCAAAGGCATGATCCCAAAATGCAAAATGCATATCGGTGATAGTAAAATCAAAAAGTACAAAAAATTAAATATCTGGGACGTGATTTAATAGATGACGAAAAGTACAAAACTTTGATCTAAAAATCTACTAGGATGGCCATATATGTATTTCAGAAGCTAAGCAGAGTATTAAGAGACAGAAAAATCGTTATAAACAAAGAAATGTATTGAACTGTTACGTGAGACCTGTCCTCTTGTATGTTAGAGAAAATGAAGAGACTTGGAAAAACAGAAATGTGGTTCTACGGAAAGATGCTGAAGATACAATGGACTGAACATGTGAGAAACAACGAGGTTTTGGAGAGAATGGAAACAAAAAGGAAAGTTATATTTAATATCAGGAAGAGACAGTTGAAATTTTTAGCGAACATAATGAGGAGGGAGAATTTGGAAAATCTCATGCAAGTGGGAAAGAGGGGCAGATTGAGGGAAAGAGGGACAGATTGAGGGAAAGATGGACCTATTGAGGGAAAGAGGGACATATTCAAGGAAAGGGGGACAGATTGAGGGAAAGAGGGACAGATTGAGGGAAAGATGGACCTATTGAGGGAAAGAGGGACATATTTAAGGAAAGAGGGGCAGATTGAGGGGAAGAGGGACAGATTGAGGGAAAGATGGACCTATTGAGGGAAAGAGGGACATATTCAAGGAAAGGGGGACAGATTGAGGGAAAGAGGGACAGATTGAGGGAAAGATGGACCTATTGAGGGAAAGAGGGACATATTTAAGGAAAGAGGGGCAGATTGAGGGAGAGAGCGACATATTTAAGGAAAGAGGGGCAGATTGAGGGAGAGAGGAACATATTTAAGGAAAGAGGGGCAGATTGAGGGAGAGAGGGACAAATTGAGGGAAAGAGGGACAGATTGAAAGAAAGGACATATTCAAGGAAAGAGGGACAGACTGAGGGAAAGAGGGATATATTCAAGCAAAGAGGGGCAGATTGAGCGAAAGTGGGACAGATTGAGGGAAAGATGGACCTATTGAGGGAAAGAGGGACATATTGAAAGAAAGAAGGACATATTCAAGGAAAGAGGGACAGACTGAGGGAAAGAGGGACAAATTGAGGGAAAGTGGGACAGATTGAGTTAGAGAAGGACACATTGAGAGCAAGAGGCACAAACTGAGGGAAAGAAGGACAAATTGAGAGAAAAAGGGACAAATTGAGTGAAAGAGGGGGCTGATTGAAGGAAAGAGGAAGAGAAGAAAGCAGTGCATAAGATACATGATAAGCTTGAGTGAATCGATGGTAGAAGAAGTTTTGAAAGAAATAACAACAAAAACAAAACTTATTAAGAACTACAAATGACAGAAAGATGCGACTTAGCCATGATTACCTATAAGTCCGGAAGGGACACGGTGTATAAAAGAAGTCGAAAATTTAAAAAATTTAAAGCTTACAAAGATTTTACGTACCTAATTCAGACTGAAAATAGCACACATTTGCCTTCTGATTGTAGATTTCCAATGTTTTTTTTTATTTATTCAAGTGATATGGCGGAACCAAAGGAAGAGCAATTGTTAGGCAGGATGACGGAAATGGATGCAATCATTTCTTACAAATAAAAGAATAATATTCCTTTGATTTGTGAACGAAGATTATATTTCTACATCTCTTGCTATGTTTATTTTGATTGTATTTCCCTTCAATAATAAAGTACGGGTATAAATGGGAGGGATTCATATATTCGACAATTTCTGTAAATTCTTGAAAACGACTGTTCAGGGAGTAACAACACAATTGTCCAAATCGTGTAACAGCAAAAATTTCCAATTGTTAGATAAAGATCTGGATCTTTGTATCTTAGAAGTGATTAAAGATATCCCGCTGGAATTTTTCGAGGTTTTTATAATATACTATTGGACACTACTTTGAGCAATAAGAATGCATAATTATTCTCCAAGATTAACAGATGAAATCGATCATACACGAATATGGCATGTTCATCATCAATTAATCATAGCTAGGGATCGGAAACTAATTAAGGATTGAAATAAAGTCCATATATATATATATATATATATATATATATATAATTATTCATTCGAAAATTATAACATAAATATGTTATAAAATCACTAAAATATAGCCATTTTGTTTCAACACCTCTGGTGTCTTTATCAAGATGATATTGAATATAGAATATAGGTTCTATATTCAACATCATCACTTGAGACACCAAAGGTGTTGAAACAAAATGGCTATTTTTGTAGTGATTTTATAAAATATTTATGGTATAATTTTCGAATATATAATTATATTCGCTCTACTCTGTATTGAGCAATCTTTTAAGAATAGTAATTTTTGGTTATTTGAATTTATTCCGTATGCACTAATCCTATGAATAATAATATGAAAGAACATATATTATTCTTTATACAAATGATGGGATAGATACCTTATTTTTCTTTCGACGGAATAACTTTTCATCAAAAAACCCTGAAATATATGGTTTTAACAGTAAAAGAGCGGCACCGTCAATTAAAACATTGTCTTGATTCGAAAATTATTTACTGGAAATAATAAATAATATATATTTTCATGAAAAGAAAAGCTATTTCCAAAAACAACTGGACAAGATAGTGAAAAATTAATGCAACTAATAGAATTTTAATGAAATCGAATAAAAAAGTGGATTTTTTCATAATTAACTGCAACGGATTCCATCAACCTAGTTAAAAAAAAGATTTAAATAATAACTTTTAAAAAGGAAAGTAAATTTAACAAAAAGTGCTATATAGCCATAATGGATCACAAACACGAATTCGAAGTTAATCTGATTACAAGAATTATCAACCCAATCCTACCAATCTGAAATTGGCAGAATTAGTAGCAAAATCCTAAAAAGTGTCAACCAACAAATAAAGGATTACTTAGGATTAAAACTTTGCATCAGTACTAACGAGGTTACTAATTGGTTTAATTAAATCTCTGGAACTCTACAAAACGTGGTCTCTTTCAGCAGTGTGTGTCGAAGAGATAATTTTCTTGATTAAGATTGAATCTTTAAACTACCGATTGTTGACGCAGAAGACATTTTCTAAGGGTTTCGTTGAGAGTGTAATCAATAAGACTTGATACAAAGGCTAGATTTGATGAACATGCAATATCGATCTTTGTGGCTGTGTGATCCCGGGCTGAAATAATTGTGCAACGACATCCAACTACAGATTGCTCATGCGCACTGGGTCGGTAAAAGCACGTTGACATGCGGAATGGTATAGTGGCGAGATTAAATGAAACACGCTTTCATTGTAAATGTCGTCGTGAAAGATCCCTGAAGTGTTCCTGATTCGGAAGTACGTACTCCTACGCATCAAGGAAAAGCCAAATTGTACACTAATACAGTTTGTTATTGAGAATTACCTACAATGGATATCAAAGGAAATTTTCATGAATTTACAGATGTAGACAAAAATATAAATATGAATCTGACAAAATCAGTACGCATTCATAATAAAGAGCAATGAATTAAAAACTCTAATGACTACTTTGAGATAACAATGGGATCATTGGATTCGGCTGAACTTATGGTCTTTTTATATTAAATAATCCTACTGCATATCGTGAAATTAGTATAAATGAAATTGGATTGTACAGAGATGATGACCTTACGGATTTAAAGAATTCTACGTATTTTAAAATTGATAAAATTAGAAAACTATTACACAGAGAATTTAAATGCTTAAACATCAAAATTAATGTAAATACCAAAATGAAAAAGTTCACTTCCTTGGTATAACATTTAATGACTAATATATACCTACCTTACAAAAACCTAATACTAATCCTTTGTATATACACCTTAATCTAATCATCCTCCATCTGTAAATAAGTGTATACCTTCATCTATTGAAAAAAGAATAAGTACAAATTTAGCAAATGAGAAAATATTCTATGGATATAGCAATTTCTATAATAAAGCCCTAAAGAATAGTGGCTATAATTGCTAAAAACTCACTTATATAAAAAATGAAATTGGGTGCCATAGAAAATTAGAAATAAAACAAATCATTTTTTATACAACCCCATATAACCAAATGGTAAGAAATAAATTCGGACTAAAATTCCTTGCATTGATTGATAAATATTTTCATAGGGATAGTAATCTCAGTACAATTTTTTAAAATATCCTAAAATTAAGTTACAGTTGTACTGAAAAATTAGAAATGATTATTGAGAAACATAATGCAAGCATCTTGAATAAAAATTTATACCAAAATCAATATATATATATATATATATATATATATATATATATAGATAGATAGATAGATAGATAGATAGATAGATAGATAGATAAATAAATAGATAGATAGATCTTAAAATAAAGAGAAATGAAGACAATCTTTAAAACTGCATTCTTAATAATAAATGTCGTATGGAATCAGTATTTTATCAATGTAATATCTATCTACTGAAGATCCAGACATGGTTAAAATCAACATTGGATGCACAAGGATCGAATTCAAAAGAAGGTGGAACCAACATCAAACGTCTTTTAATAATAATAAATACCGAAATCAAATGTCCCTATCTAAATATTTCTGGCACATAAAAGAAACCAATATAACACCATCAATAAAATGGAAATTAATAAGAAAATCTAGTGTTTGTAGTTTAAATGACCCATGTCCTTTGTGTATAGATGAAAAATTATGCATTATTATGCTTCTGAAAACTAAAATTTTACTAAATTGAAAAAATGAAATAGCTATGTTTGTAAGGACTGACAAATATTTTTCTTAAGTAATAATTAATTTTGAAAAAATAATATATAACGAGATGAAACATGCATTTAGATGTTTGATATTTAATTAGTAATTAAATTCTAATATATTTTTTGTGAAACTACCAAAGAGTCTATTAGTTATTAGAAGGTCAAATGGTACTTTAAAGCTATAAGATTATATCATATAGATATGAAATTTAATTCATAAAATGTATGTATTAATAATTTGTCTTAAACATATTTAAATGACACCTTTAGAAACTTTTTTGAATAAAAAAAATCTATGAATTAATCGGATGAATGAAAATGCCTATTTTTTTCTCGTTAGAAACGCAGACAGCACACTATTAATAACATATACGTTTGTTTGCAGACATCCACTCCTCAGGTAATATTTCTGTATCAGGATGGAATCATATTTTTTAAAAAGAATATAATTATAATATATATATATATATAAGATTAAGAATTAGGTGCGAAATAAGAAATAATTTTAAAGAGACACTGGTGTTTTAACAACTAAAAGAAAGGTGGGAGCTCTATTTTTCAAGGAATCATTATATATATATATATATATATATATATATATATATATATATATATATATATATATATAAGAACCAATTGTGTTCATGAGAAGGTTACTACATTATTTCGATAAAAACATGCAAAAATATTTGGAATCAGACTTAAAATTTCACCTAGCGCTGAAGTTGTCGAAACGGAACATGTACATATCTGACAGAGTTTATCCGAGAAAAAGATAATGACTTATCCAGAATCGGCCCTCAGTTCTCTTAAAATAAAAAGAAAAACTAACTCGAATAAAAAGAGAACCGGGATATTTTTTGTCCACAGCACGTCCTTCATGTCGTGTCTTGAGCAGATGCGAAATCTTTCCAACTTTAAAGACGATAAGGATTGTGACAAGCTGAAGACTTTCAGCTGAGTTTGAAACTGAAAAGTAAAAAGAATTTTAACAAGACTAAAAAAAAAACACGAAAGCAACATAATTTTTTTGGCAACTCTCTGTTGTGCAGATGTGTAGTTCTACAAACATAACAAATTTGGTCCGAGAAAATCCTGAAGTAAAATTTTCCACTTTGTCACAGAATTTCAACTATACTGGTCTTAATATAAATATATATATATAGTTACCTGTCCTAATATATATATATATATATATATATATATATATATATATATATATATATATATATATATATATATATATATTATAATTAATTGATTTAAAATATGCGAAAAAACATATTTTAAATCAATTAATTTATAATATTAATGCTCTGTAAATTTACATTGAGCACTATTTTGTAAAAATAAAAATATCTATAAGAACACCGGATTTTATATCTTACTGTTCTTTCTTTTTTTATATATATATATATATATATATATATATATATATATATATATATATATATATATATATATATATATATGTATATATATATATATATAGAGATATAGAGAGAGAGAGATATAGATAGATTGATAGATACACCTAGTGAGCCAGACAAACCTACCTGGTTTCACCTAAACGGATCGTCAGGGAAAGTAAGACCTTACTTTCCCTGACGGTCCGTTGAGCTGAAACCTAGGTAGGTTTGTCTGGCTCTCTAGGTGTATCTAGGTCTGTTTCTACGGTTGTATTGAGCGCTTTTGTTAGTTAGTTGTTTACCTGTATCGGGGATTTTTCTTTGGGCTTCAGACCTGTATCTGTGCGATTTTTTTGTCGGCAGAAGTTCATGTTTGTAGCTCTTTCTTTTTTTAATGCCTTAAGGAAAGAAGAGGGGATAAAAATTTTGGTAGGGATTTGGATAATCATTCATCGAGTTTAAAAGAATCCTCAACAGAATGTTGATTTCACTTGGATGGGCGTTTAGTCCTGTTTTGAGAATACTCAGCTCTGCGCATCCATTACTGAGAATCGAACGCTGATCGTTACGATACAACACAAGCGTCATACGACAGGACCAAAGGGTAGCTGCGCTATATTGGGTCTAGATAGTCTTACTTTTGCCGCTGAGGCTTGTAAGTGCAGTGGTGTTTCGTTGTATTGTAACAGTACTTGTTCGATTCTCGTAATGGATGGGGTCTTGTGTAGTTTTCAAAAAAAGTGAGAAATGGTTGTCTCATGCATTCTGCTGAGGATTCTGTGTGAATGATTTTTTTTATTTGTTTCTTTTTAATTTTAATATATATATATATATATATATATATATATATATATATATATATATATATATATAAAAAAAAGAATCTGTGTGTCTTTTTAATTTTAACATATATATATATATATATATATATTACAAGAGAAAAATAAACTGCGTGTCTTTCTACTATGCGATGTATGTCTTTCTACTATGTTTCTGAAAATCTACACATTTTGATCTTCATATCCATCCCATTGTTGTATATGTGTGATATTGTTTCACCTTTTAGAATATTTCATATCATTTCCATTCTTCTTTAACCCGGGAATATCCATGAAATGTAAATATATTAAAATCAGAAAGCATTTCTGAAAATAACCCCAATCCCATTAGATAAAGTAATCGATTAGAGATAACGGAATAGAGGGATATCTTGCTTCGGGTATATATTTTTCAAGGTTCAGGGGAAACCACCATTTCTTTTCCTTGCCTCAATCCAAATATTCTATTTCCATTTACCCATATTCTCCTGAGCGTACGTATGCATGAGTGTGTCTATATAAGTGTGTCTTTTTCGGTATCCATTTACGTAAGTGAAAGCAATATTTTTTCTCTCCTTATCAGTAAAGACGCGTATATAAAATATTGAACGCGCCGATGCGTTTGTTGCTTTCCTGAATTCATTTTAATTTTTCCTGTTTCCCCATCCACATCTCAATTACCCCACCTCGCATTTTTCTCTTGCAAATTATTTTGCATATATGTTTCCAATTTCCTCTTCTCCTTTATTTCACTTTTCTTTATACTTTTTTCTTTCTCAAGACTAATTTCATCGTCGTAAGCTCTAACTGATTCTCCAGCTTTTCTCATTCACATTTCTTATTTTATTCTGCTACTCATTAACAGAGATTCTTTTGCTTTCTCTAAATTATCCTTTCGCGTGAAGGGCGGATGCAGCAGTCAACTCAATTGATGGTGTGAACCATAAATCCTGTGATCACAGATAATAAGCTGCGGGGTGATAATGGTAATAATAATAATAATAATAATAATATCAAGCAAAGACAATTCATATGTAGGGGTGTAGACCACACAAAAGCTTGTTCTATAAAGTGACAGTACAGATTTGTGTTTTGTCAGGCATAAGCTGTCATTACGGGAGAAGTAACCGATTGTGTTACATATTGAACAGCCTTACAGAGTGAGGAAATCGGCCTATAAATTTAAAATATATGTTGGTTTAAAATTAATTTCGTTTAATCTGGTTCTACGACACTAATAGAGGTTCACGATAAATATTATGTGTGTGTGGGTGGGTTGGGATAAAAACAAAAGGAAATTATTTTAATCGACGCGTTTCGTCTTCTGATGGATTTTATCAAAGCAAATGTAAGGATTTTATTTCATGGCAAGTATTTATATTCTATGCTCAAAAGTAATATTGGCTTTTCTAAATTTTTCAGTACAGGAGTTAACCGTTATTCAGATGAATATTCAAGTGCACTCTTATAGCTTGGCACTGTGTGACTTCTGACTCTTTCCCACCATCAGAAAGCCACGCTGCAAGGGAAGCGATTTGAGTTGCGAGAGGTGATTACGAGAAACCCAATGGCGGAGCTCCATAGCATTTCAGAAAAAGGTGTTCCAGATTTGTTACCAGCTGCAGTACGGCTAGAAGAAATGTGTGGACTCCCAAAGGGAGTATTTTGAAGGTAATGAAATAAAATTTGTGAAATGCACACAATTGATCTTTTATGTCTTAAAGGTCGGATATATTTTGAACACTTATCGTATATATATGATAGATGTATATTATATTATAACAATGTGAATACGATATTAAAACAATAATCAAAATTCGCTACTCAAAATTTCATTCTGTAACGCAATGTGGATAAAATATCAAACAATTTTTCGCTTCAGTCTGATTTATTTCACTTATAAATATATAACTGGCCATTCGTATTCGAGATTACCTGTTTACAATAGCGGCTAACCAATCCCTATTGCAGACGCTTACTCAGGTGCATTTCTGTTTATTCAGCACCGACAGATCCCACCTGTGATTTATACTGCAACTATACTCAGCAGGCCTTAGTTACAGTTTCTGGGAAAGAGCGTGTTATCCAACGTGATCAGCAATTTGAACAAGGCCCGCACGCTCAAGACCTCGGCCACGATGACTTGTGACTTTCTACTAGGACAGCTACCGACGGCCACCCAATTTCACTCACAACGCTTGTATCAACCCATGCTATGATTTCCAGGCACTTTCCAATGTTTCCGCACGCTAGGATCGAACCCTCCGTTTCGATAACGTCAGGAAGTCTTCTTCCGGACAAATCGAACATGGTGTGATTCCAACCTGTGTCTCATGGCAGAATGCAAATGTTTTAACCACTCGGCGATGTAATCCCTCTTTAAATGACAATTATTGTTGTGTTTATTATCTTACAAGCAAGATTAGTGGATAAATTTAAAATAAATAATGCTTTTATTGACTTGCAAAAGAGTTTAACGTTTTAAATTAAATATTAAAGAAAATTAAACGCAGTTATCTCAAAAAGAAAAACAATCATGAAATTATAGGAAGTCAAAAGCTTAGAACATTGTATAATCCGTGGCTGGCAGGTATCCAATAACCCCGATGTATATTTTTAAATAAGTATTTATTTTAAGCCTACAAACGGCTATTAATTCGCTTATCTTATTTGACAGCTGGTTACCGATTCGATATAGAATTTGAAACCCCGAGAAAATTTAACATCTTTTGCCCACACTGCTGTACGACAACCCTTTGCCAATATTATCCAAATGATATTTTATTATTCTTTTTCGCTGTTAAATACGTTCTAATTGTAGATAGATCAGTACTACGTTTATAGTTTTCTGTTGCTCAGACTCATCATATGATCATCATAATATCTTATTCATTCACTTTCGGCAGCTCCTATATCGTATTTGAATTCGCATTCACTAATCATTCAATGTGCATTTACAGTTTCCTTGTTATTGCAACCCGCTAATATTTTTTCTATTATGTTTGTATTTTATATTTTTTTCATAAATTTTCTTACGGATCTTGCTCACCTTCACACTGATTTTGCTGAATAGTATCTTTCAATTTCACACGTTAACGAAATCTTTAAATTTTAAATATAGGAACATTTTTAACGTTAACATTGACATGTTGGGGGGTTATACAAAATAATTTCCCGTTTTACGATTCTTGCTACATTGAAAGTTGATTTACTTGTTATTTGCACCGTTCCAGTACCTGCTATGATAGATAGATAGATAGATAGATAGATAGATAGATAGATAGATAGATAGATAGATAGATAGATAGATAGATATGAATAGGCTGAGATAGATAAAGATAGATAGATAGATAGATAGATAGATAGATAGATATGAATAGGCTGAGATAGATAAAGATAGATAGATAGATAGATAGATATGAATAGGCTGAGATAGATAACTATAGATAGATAGATAGATAGATAGATAGATAGATAGATAGATAGATAGATGAATATGAATAGGCTGAGATAGATAACTAGATAGATAGATAGATAGATAGATAGATAGATAGATAGATAACTATAGATAGATAGATAGATAGATAGATAGATAGATAGAAAGAAAGAAATAGACTGAGAGAGACAGATTATGGACAGAAAAATAAACACTTAAATACCGCTTCTCGCCTCAAGCGATATTCAAACCAAAAATATTTACAAGTTCTGAAGATTGCTGGCGAAGTAAAACTAACAGTCACGATGGAGTGTTTAATTTCTATATCTATCTATCTATCTAGCTAGTTATCTTTTTAAACCAGTTCACCTCACGCAAGGCAATAAAAGCTACTATGAGACAAGGAGTTACGAAATATGAAAAAATATAAGAAGAATGACTAATAAAATAGCAAGTATTAAGAAAACAATATAACGATTGACATTTACATTTTACAGATCAAAGTTGACTGGAAAGTAATAAGCCAGAAGAGAATTCCACAAGTGAGAAGTGCGAGAGAAGGAATTATTAATACAGAACTTACGGTTATATCTAACCATTTCAACTGTAAATTGAGACGTTGTTGTTAATCTAGGTGTAAGTATAAATTCGTAAATATAGCTATCAAAGATGGATGTTCATTGCAAAAATTATCAGTAAAGTATTCATAGATAAGGCATACAGGAACGCTAAGTTAAAGACGCTGGAAAATGACCGAAGACAAGTTGCGATTTTAGAGACAATATCTTTTAATTTGGGTTTTATACAATACCCCGAAATATATAGCAGACACAGCAGACCAGATGGGATAGTAATAATCGACACAATGACGAAAGATACATATATAAATACGGAAGATAGTTCCTGGCGTTAAAACCGGTCGCGCATGACAAAATGAAGCAACTTTTCTAGCAACTGATTCAATATATATATATATATATATATATATATATATATATATATATATATATATATATATTGTTGATTCAGATATATATATTTTTAGTTGAAATCAATAAATATATTTAGTTGGAATACAACTAAATATTTTAGGTCTATCACTGATATTGAGCGCTTTCAATAAGTACCGCGCATATATAATATAATATATAAATAATATATATAAAATTTGCATATATATATATATATATATATATATATATATATATATATATATTTGAATAAAACAGATCACTTTAAGGCTCCATGTAATAAGTTATTTCACCACAACCCTTTTACAGAGCTCTGGATCACCAGACTTTACTTCCAAAAGTTGAAATGAAAAAAAATGAAAAGTAACTTACACATTTTTGACGGACCGCACCAAGCGTATGTGAAATTAACGAAGTGAGGAAGTGAGTGTGTGTGTATATATATATATATATATATATATATATATATATATATATATATATATAGACAGATAATAAATAGATATAAAGATATATTCTGGTTACACGTTATTTTTATACCTATAATTTATTTTAAGTAAATACTTTTTTTTAATTACACAGTGTTATCATAATATGTTATCAATGTTTACGTTAAGATACGTTTCGTAAGAAGAAGTGATCAATCGTGAAAAATCGTTCAAGATGTGTGTTTATAAACAGTAATTCGGGTTACGCTAACCATTGCTTCTCTGTTGCTGACGGTGTTACATTTTCGATTTCTGTCGGTGAGTGCATATATTCTACGTAATTTCCCGAAGATTCAAGCCGATAAATATCATTAATACTGTCAAATTAAAAAACGGACCATTTATTTAAACAAATTTATATATCTCAGTGTAAGTTGCGTCTCCAGCGTGAATGATTTTTGGAGACATTTTCACACCTCTCGATGTCGATATATATCTTTGAATGATTGCTTTTTCACTTCATTCAGAATCCAAGTAAATCTTGTTCAGATTAATTGTTTTACGGTCTCATACTAGATTTACTTAGAAATTTTGCAAATTAATTGAAATAAATCGAATAATGCCGTTATTATTTACTTTTTTTAGTATTTTCCAATGAAAAATGACCCAGTGCACCTGTTACTATTTCGTATGTCCATTCCACAAAGTCTTTCCTTGCAGATTGACCGCAGATTTTCGATTGGATTTAAATCAGGAGAATATCCGAGCCAGTCAATAGTACTTTGATTTGCTCACTGTTAAAGCTTGCCATTTTGATAGTGCAGCCTTACAATTTTCGTACGCTTCCTTGAAGTAACATCCAGCGCATACAATTGCTGTAGGACAACTAATTGATAGTTGCGACAATAGTGTCTGGGCGTGATTAAAAATCTGATACAATCACAGATGCCGTAATATTTTCCAAGGCTAAACAAATTTCATTATACACCCCGAAAATAGATTCATATTACTACAGACCAATGCAAATGAGCTAATCTGAGGAAAAAATAGAAATCCATTACACCCTGTCAGTGCAGTGAGTTTAAAACTGACCGTATGGTGAAAGAAAAGAAACTAAAACAGCTTTTTTCAATTAATTTGTACAAGGTTGTAAGGTCGACATACTTAGTAATGGTTAATGTTCAACGTTACGAAATCTTTTTTGTTCAACATTTTTGAAAAGTATCTTCTCGTTCGAATTACTTTTCAGAAATAAATATTATCGTAAGGTGGAAAAATACACGTCGCAGCTTCTAAAATAACGCGCAAATAATTTTGATAAAGCGCAAATAATTTTCAAAAATTTAGTTGGAGATTTTATGGTATGTTAAATATTTCTGCGTTGTTTAACAGTAAATATTTTCACGTAACATCTTAATGTCGCGATAAAATTCACTTTAAATATTCCTACTGTGATGCAAGGGATATTTACAACACACTTCGAGCGAATGCTTAAAATTTCTCGGCTTGACACATTTCCCTAAAATATTATTTTAATATTCGGTCATTGATTATAAGGTGTGTGCGTGTTTTTGTGTCTGTGTGTGTAAGCGCCCGTGTGTGTTTGTGTGTGTGTGTCTGTGTAAGCGCGCGCGTGTGTGTGTATGCAGGCAATAACAATATCACACCTATACACAATAAAATCACATTTGATATGCTTGTTCATTACCGGTATCTTCCTCAACTGCACAATTATTTAACAGCGTCACTATTTTATTTTTTTTCTTTAATATGGCATATGTTATATGACAAAAATAACGTTTAATTGACAAAATGAAATAACAAAATCTCTATTTTAACAGAATCCTTTTAAAATACGCGCTGATGTGACAACTATCACAAGACAATCAAATGCTCTCTTTTTATGCAGTTGAGTATAAATACTCCTTATGCAAACTAACAACGACGAACAAGACGAAAGATTTAGTCAACCCAACAATAAATTTCTTGCACCAAATATACAGTGGAAAAATAAATATTCATTACAAATACCCACAAAAGTATTAGATTATTTTATAAGAATGACATGACAACCGGAAATGTATTTTTATATCATGTCACCTCTATCAAGGGATAAGATAAAAAGTGTAAAAAATGAATATTAGAAAAAAAGAAGATATTTATAAAGGAAAGAGGACAATAGAAGTGAAAGTATAAAGAACGTAACGATTGTCATTGCATTTGAAGATCAAATTTGATTGGAAGTCAAGAAGCCTGAAGAGAATTCCACAAGCGTCTGATGGAAGAAACCTTTAGCATAGAACTTAAGGTCACATCCAGTTATGTCAAATGTAAAATGTTGAGATCTAGATTCCAATTTAGTACCGCGCTTAAATTCACAAAATCTAAGGACCAAGGGGAAAATGTCACCATCAATATTACCATGAAATTATTTATAGAATAGGTTCATGGAATTTACGGCGGTTGGAATTTAACTGAAGATGAGATGCAACTTCGTGATTGATAACATTGCAGATTCTTCTTTGGATTTAATCAAGAATCGCTAAATATATAGAATTCTATATTCAGCAGTAAACCTGAGCAAAACTTAAACAAACACATGTATATAAAATTATAAAAGATATGTACGGAACGCAATACAGCAAAATGAATAAAAAAAAATTGCACAAATTATGATCGAAATGTACAAAATACTTCGGTGTTTTTGGCTTTGTTAGCAACGGTAGGCTCTAGTTGCATCCAAAAGTAACCATTAGCTTTTAAATTTCTTGTGCGCATATATCAAATCACTTATCATAGCAAACCATTTGTTCGTTCAATTTGCGAGGCTGGCGAAAATGAGAACAAATCCCCTTTTTCTTTAACAAGCAAACTCTGAATTTCCGCCTTTCGTGATGAACGGGTGTTCTCTCTGCTGAGACTTGAGCGCCTCTTAGGACTTAAGCCCAATTCAGACCTCAAGTGAAACTCGTACATACGATTCCATCGCTAAAGATGCTGGGAAATTGTTGGTTCTCTGTATGACATCAGTAAGTATTTGACTCCTGCCATCCTCTACTATTACAAGAGCCAGATCAGATCGGAAAGGGAGTATTGCTGTCAAATATGGACAGGATCTGTACAGTCTTGATAGTCCAAAAACTTTCCCGAATTTTTGTGGGTAATGAATTATTTTTTTATCCTACAACCTCTTCTCCTACAGACGAAGCGTTGCCAGCCTCTCGCTACTCTATCGCTGTTTAAATGGAAAGTGTTGAGACGAAATACTTCCCTTCATTGTACCAGTTCTAACGTTCACGACTAAGTCCCGCCATGCCAAGCACATTGGAGCGGACCATACCCATTCCCTTTGAATTCCACTGAAGTAGATTCTTCCCACAATCTTTTCTGGAACCAACTCGCAAGAGGATTCTTCCCCGATCCCGACAATTCTAACCCGTTAAAGTTTATGGTTAACCATTACCTTACCCCCTCCTATCTCCATAAATAGTCTCTCTTATTCTGTAATATTCTTTGACATTTTACAGGGTAAATATTATTGTAAAAATAAACTTGCAAATCAGGAGGATTACTGCAACGTATTACTAGATAGATTTTCTTATTTTTCACTACAGTTGTAATTGGTGATATTTCTGATTTCTGATCTGTTAATAAACTGAAATGTCTTCTTTTATATGTCTTTATATGAAGAAAAATATACTGAAAAAACAAAAAAAAATCCTAATATGCGATTATGTTGTTTTAATGTTTAATGTCAACGTCGGACGTTTCGGTCTAATA